TTCAACGGCAGAATTTTGTTTATCCCTTTACTCTCAGTGTTTAGCAAGAGTTAGATCCAAGGGTTTCTCATTCAAGGTGTGTAGAAATAACAAAATTTGATGATTTGGTCAAAATTCAATCATTCCTCCTCTCATTCATTCACCCACGCATGTATGGACATATGTAAGCATTATTATCTTTGGAAGCCCCATGTCCTATATGTGTGCATAAAAGTTAGCAATTTAAAAGTTACTTAAAATTGTATATTTAAATAAGTTTCTGTAGTCTTAGGTTGATTTAACCACAAGGATAAAAATATGATGTAAATGATCTGAAATAAAAACATTAATCAGGTCTCATAGAAGGTATCTTGTTCTGGTTTGGTCCCACAGTTAATAAGTACCACAAGTCTGAGTTTCCCCACAGCTGTTCATCCATCTAATAAACTGGTGGTTTTTAGTTATTTATATACTCATTTAATTATGTATAATATCCCATGAAGTCACAGCCTCCAAAGCACTTCTTATACTAGACTGTGTAACACGTTTAAGGAGATGGGAAGTTTTCATAACACAGAGCGACTTTTCTTACAGCTTCCCAGTTCTCTGGTGTGGAAGAATTATCTGTATTCTGTCAATCATGTATTTTAATAAAACGCTGATTGGCCAGGCAGGAAGTATAGGCGGGAAAACAAGACAGGAAGTAGAGGTGATGCAATGAGAACAGGAGAATTCTGGGAAGCAGGAAGGTTCCTCTGCGATTCCTGTCCAGACCACCGGAGAGGAAAGATGTAAGCTGCCCAGCTGAGAAAGGAACTGAGCCGTGTGACTAATGTAGATAAGAATAATGGGGTAACATAAGTTATAAGAACTAATAAGTAGCCTGACCTAATGGGCCAATCAGTTTATAATCTTATGGAGTCCTGTGTGTGATTTTCTCTGGGACTTGCCAGCTTTGGGGTACCGGTTGGGAACAGATACCCCAAAAAGCCGGCCCTCATGTTACAGTTCTCCCCAGCGCACTCTACTCCTGAGTGGAGGAAAGCAGTTTGCATGTTGGTAAACAATGTGACTAGCCATCCTTAGGGTGTCTGCATGTACAACCTGTGGCTTCGAATACATTTAGAAGATGGCAAAGTGTATGGGAACCACGGACACTACAACAAGTTTCTAAGATTAGTCCAGTGCTTGGGTGGGAATAACGTGCCTTTTTTTATATAAATGTACTGTTTTTTTTTCTTTGAGCATGACAGCCTCATCATGCATAGGAATATTTAATTGAACCACATGCTGTGCTTTGGGAATCTATCAGCCCTGGTGGCTGTAACTGCTTCTTGAAGAGGGAAGGCTGTACTGTGCTACCGGTAGGAGCAGAGGAAGTGGGGACGGCTCCAGGTACCTTACTTCTCCTTCTCATCTTGTTTCCAAGTTATGGCAATTTAGTGCTTCTGAAAATTCACCTGCCAAACAATTCCAGGAATCAGAGCTCTGTCAGCAAGCCAGAGGCACAGAATTCTTTCTTCTGGCCTCAAGAGCATGCCTCTCCGCACAGAGGAGGTTTGCAGAGCCATGAGAGGGCAGGCTGGATGAGCAGAGGGTGGTGATAAAAAGGAAATAGGCCTTAATGGTGGACTCCAGTGTCATTGTGAAGTCAATCACCACCTGCTGCAGGTAATTTGCTCCCTTTTTAGTGGCCACGGGAAGTTCCTGGAATCGGTGTGCGACAAGAACAGAACCCACCACCGAGTGAGTAAGCCCATGAGCTGTAGGAGAGAACAGACCAGGCCTGCTCAGAGGTTTCAGCCCAGTGCATTTCTATTCCTTGTTCTCTCTCAGGGCTACAGCAAGGAAAAGATTCATTTTCAGGTGTGAAAACATTTTCTCACCCTATTATGTGGCAAAAAAGCTGTGTTCTCTTCTTTTCTTTCATTTTTTTTGTCCCTCTAAACTCAACTTTAGATCAACCCATAAAGCAGGCAAGAAATCTCATTGGTGTATTGTGTTAATGATGACTTTGTTTTCAGATATTCTGGGCTCACTTTGAGTTTTGTTGCTGTTGTTTTACTCCTGTAAAAAAATAATTTTCAATGATAAATATTCAGTTCTTCCTTCCGCACAATGCTGGAGAATCAATGGAAACAGGGAAAACTCTATTTCCCTATTCTGTCTCTCCCTTTTTCTTGGTATCAGTGTTCAAATATAAGGATACAGAGGAACAAAATAGCAAAAAGAATGGACAAGTATAATTTTAATGACATCTACATGCTAGCTACTATTAGATCTGCTAGAAGAGATATATGCATTTGAATACATACATTAAATGAATTCATATTGTATGTTATAAGTCTAAAATATAAATACAGAGAGCTTAACATATATATTATACAAAGTAAGTTTTTTTTAGAATACAGGAGACAATAGTACAAGGATATTATATATTACTTAATCCTCATAGCAACCTAATGATGTATAAAGATTGTTTAAATATATTTTAATGTTCTTCATTTTCTGATGCATAAACCTAGGGCATCAAGATGGTCTTTCTAGGCCATGGTAGACTAAAAATACCCAGAAAAAGATATATTTCCCCAAACATGCTTTTAGAGCCTGTACTTTAAAACTAAGTAATATCATACCACCATTTTAACAATTAGTGGGAAAAATAAACCTATGCTTATTTAAATAGCAGGAACCTTATCCAAAGAGTATCAAATACTTTGAGCACTAAAATTACTGTATATCATTGTTTGTCTGTGAAGAATTTTCCATCCTGAATGCACATTCTTTGGTCAAATTCATGAGGCATAAACCTTATACATTCATCCCTTGACAATTTTCTTCAAGAATATATTTTGCTGATGAAACTGAAATCTGCTACATAATAAAGTGGCAGAAGAGCGTCTGTGGGCCTTCCTACATCAACCGACCTTGGGTTCACTGCTCTACCTCTAGGCCTATTTGACATACTATTAAAAGCATCTGTGGAGACCTAGGAATGGAATATGAAAAAGTGTGGACAGCTTGGTTGCAAAATTCTAGACATAATTTATGCCCTTGGTTCATTCCAAAAGCCTTTCTACCCCTGCTTTAATGCTTTGGCTGTGGTGCAGAAGTGTGACTTTGTCCTGTTTCTATCAGTGGGGTTTAGGATTTATTGAACTTTTCTTTACTGTCTGGCAGCAAGGATGCTCCAGGTTCATTTTATGTACTTTCTGTGCCTGCTCCGGTTCTTTACCTTTGCCATTTAGATACTAAGATGTGAAGTGTTAGCTATAGCCTATCTTTCTAATATAAAACTCCAGTAGTGATGCATGCCTTCAATCCCAGCACTTGGGAGGCAGAGACAGGCAGATCTGCATGAGTTGGAGGCTAAATTGGTAAACAGAGAGAGTTCAGGGATAGCTAGGGAAGTTACACAGAGAAATCCAGCCTCGAGAAACCAAAACCAAACCAAATCAAACTAAGCCAAAGAAAAAAAGAAACAAACAAAAAACCTCCTGCAACTCTTTGATTTACTTTGAGATTCCCGCCCCCGCCCCCAATTATGAAGTGGATCATTGCTTTTTGATAAGGCCTGAGTTTCCTAGAGAGGGCTTGTTGTCTTAATCTGGACAGTAGAAATACAGCTACATTTATTTTGGTTAGAAATTGCTATTGAAATAAGTTACCTAGATTAGAACACACTGTGTTCACGTTCAAAGATCAAGGATAATACAAGATCAGCTGTTGCTCAATTTTATGTTCTCTCTTTTTATTGTTATCAGTGTAGGAAGTTTCCATTTTTCATCTAAGGGAGCAACATTAATTGTATCTGAAGCTACCTTCTGAACCCTAAGTCCCTGTTCTCAATAGAATCTTAAGCTATCTTGTCTTGACCCTGGCAATTAATCTCATTGAAAGTGCAAAAGGTAGAGGCACCCAAATATTATAGTGTTACTTATGCAATAGATTATGTTTGCCTGAAAACTTTTTAGTTTTTTTGAAGAACAGAGATGTAAAAAAGTAGGAGTTACCTATATTAGAAAATCTCAAACAGTTGTTTATGTCAGTTACTGCTTCAGAGGATTCTTGGCTTTAAAGAGTTCACCACAATCACTTAAAAAATGTTTTCTCTCTCTACTTCAGTCACATTGATATATATCATACAAGTACTGTTCCCGAAGTTGTTGAGATGCATTTTACAGCAAACCTATAAGCTATTTTGTAACATGCTTTGCAGGTTTCTATTGTCAACGTGTCCCTGAGTTCCACGAATCTTCTGTTTACACAGCAGGTACCCATGTCATCTTAGAGTCTTTCAAATTCAAACCTTGAAGATGATGTAAATGGAATGAAAAGGGATGTTATAGTCTGTGCCTAATCAGCAGACTTATGGGAATCCAGTCACAGTTCTGAGACATGATGCTCAGCGCCCAGAGAAAAGTGGTGATTTCTAATGTAGTTTCTTTTACCCCCTAGCTCTATCAGCACTGGCCAAACATGTGCAAAACAAACTTGAAATGAAACAGACCCAATGAAAATTTTATGGCTCTAACATTTAAAGACCACCTTCTGTGAATTCAGCTCATTTTAGATGGACGAACTTTACCCTTTACTAGATGAGGCATACGTAGAGAAGCTCTTTGAGTACATTTCCAAACTCAGTCTCATACATCATTCCTGGAGTTTCTTGTTCAAGGTGATAAATAGACTTATTCAAAATTTTTGTGAAAACCCCAGTAACTCTACGAAAAAGTCAGAAATATCCGTGAGACCTCAGATGTCAAGATTGATTAAAGTGAAGCTTCAGGAGACTCTCTGAGGCAGGAAATCTGAGAAGGGTTTCAAACAGGACAGGAACCTGGAGGCAAGAGCCGATGCAGAGGCAGAGGAGTGCTGCTTACTCGTTTCTTCCCTGTTGTTTGCCCCACTTGCTTTCTTAGAGAACACAGGACGACCAGTCCAAGGATGGCAGCACCCACAAGGGGCTGAGGCTGGGCCCTCCCTCACTAATCACTTAAGAAAATGCCCTACAGGCTTACCTATAGCTTGGTCTTACGTGAAGTCCTCGAATGTGTATCTATCACAGACCAATCTTTTATCACAGCAGCACCTGCCAAGGCACTAGAGCAGCGGTGTTCAACCTAAGCTGTACCTGAAGACAACAGGAAAAGCATTTATCAGTCAGTGACCATTATTCAAGCCAGTGGTTAGTACTCAGATCTTAGTTTTTAGAACAGTTTCAAACCAGAATACTACATAACTGACAGTGAGAATCATGGTTCCATAGCAAAGGCCTAGTTCAGCTATCTTTCTAGGTTAGATGAGATTTGACCATATGTTTGTAAACGTTTACTAAATCCGCAGAACCAGTAGAGTTTAAAGCCTATGGAGGTTTTAAAGCAGCCTTTGTCACTTCTTCTTTCTCAATGACTTTCACCTTATTAAGAGGACTACTTTCTTCGGAGGTTTTGTTTTTATTTGTTTGTTGTCTGTTCATATGTTACATCAAGTTCAGCTAGTTTCTTTCAGATTTTCACTAGAAATTTTCCTAATTTTTTGTGAACCATTCCAGTAATTTCTTTAATTACATCCTCTCTAAAGAATGTTCCAAAAAAAATATAAGTCCAGTGATTAGTTTTCCACTCATGACACCCATTAAATTCACCTATCGCCTTGTTTTAATGCCATGAGCACATATATGGTGAATCTGTGAGGCCTTTCTCTAGCCTCTATCCTAATATTCCTTTTCCAAAGTATTGGACCAAACCTGATTTCTTGTAATGTCTAGATTCTTCAATCCCACTGAAGGCTTACCAGACTCAGATTCCCTGGGGGTGAGCCTGGAACTCTCCAAGCAGTTCTAATGGTTTCTCTTAAACCCTAAGCCTAAGCAGTCTCAGTCTCTCTCTCTCTCTCTCTCTCTCTCTCTCTCTCTCTCTCTCTCTCT